AGTTTGGCCATCTGTCTGAGGGTGGTAGGTAGTACTAAACTTAAGAGAAGTATTGAATCGCTACCACAAAGTTCTCCAAAAGTGAGATAAGAATTTGAATCTCGATCGGATGTAATAGACTTCGGCACTCCATGAAGGCGAACTATCTCCCGAAAAAAAAGATTAGCAATGTTGCTCGCATCTGCAGTCTTCTTGCACGAATAAAGTGCGCCATCTTCGAAAACCTGTCAACCACAACAAAAACAGAATCCATGCCTCGTTGGGTTCGAGGCAGTCCCAACACAAAGTCCATAGAGATATCATGCCATGGTGCAACTGAGGCCAGTAATATCGTTTTTCAATGGCTGCAATATTTTTCTGCTCCCTTCTTCAACTGAGGCCAGTAATATCGTTCTTCGATGGCTGCAATTGTTTTATCACGTCCCAAATGTCCTCCTAGTCTGCCAGCATGAAGGTCTCGAATTATCTGCTCTCTTAGTGAACTCTGGGGTATGCACAATTGATTGCCATGAAATAGATAACCATCCTGAAAATGAAAGCCTTTGATTGATTTATTTTGAAGACAGTCGTCCCAAATCTTCTTAAAATCTTCATCCTCTGCATACAGCTCCTTAAGGTCCCAAATCTTCTTAAAATCTTCATCCTCTGCATACAGCTCCTTAAGGTACTCAAACGCAATCACTTCAGCCTTCAAAGTTACCAACCAGCTCCTTAAGGTACTCAAACGCAATCACTTCAGCCTTCAAAGTTACCAACAATCCAGCTCTCCTACTTTGACTATCCCACTTTGACATAAACGTGTCTGCTGTGTGTTCTACATCAATATATATCTTGTCACATATCATTTGCTAGGATATATTCGTTAATTAGTTTTAAATTAGCATAAAATCGGATTAGATTAGCATAAACTCCCCCCCCTCGGGTTTTTTCATAGCGGCCTTAGGGTCTAACCAGGGGCGTAGCCAGGGCAGTCTTGCCCTGGGCAGCTGCCCAGGGCAAGAAACTGCCCCACTTCACCTCCCCCTCCCGCCTCCCCTCGCTTCCCTTCTTCTCCGGCCACTTCACCTTCCTCTTCCGCAGATCCAACCTCCTCTCCCTCCTCTTCCAGGACCTCCATCTCAACAATCCCCAACCCTCCTCCCTCTCCCGCGCCTCCCTCCTCTCCCTCACCGAGCTCCTCTCCCTCCTCCGTCGCTTCAAGTCCCTCACCGCTGACCACCTTTAGTTTTCGCCCAGGGCAAAAAATATTTCTGGCTACGCCACTGGGTCTAACACCTAGTTCGATCTCGCTAAAAGACAGTGCTATTGCACCTGTACGGTCCATGAAGCCGGCATCTAGTCTCCACTAGCACAGCTATTAAAAATCTTGTGTGTAATTAAAAAGCGCTGTATCATTCTTCATTTGTTGTTTTCCTCCAGAAAAAATCAATAAAAGCGGACGATTCTTTCATTGTCTCAATGTTTTGTAAATCTTTTTGACCAAAAACAACGGCTACGAGACTGTCTGCAGTAGTGACCGTCATGCAATAAAAGAGGACGATTCTCGTTTTTGGAGGAACTCAAATTCTCGTTGGTGATTGAATTATACTCCCAACCGAATGGTGAAATTAATGTTTGGTTTTATAAGTAAGTTAATGTATTCTCATGTTTGAAAGAATATGAATGATTCGTGTATACTAATTTAAATTTGGGCTCAATACCTATCGACTTAAACTTTTAGATAAACTCGGTTCTCAATACCTATCGACTTAAACTAAGAAAGAGTGCACTGTAATGTGATGCTATAAAGTCATCACATGGACAGTGTTTCTGTGTTATTAAGCGATATTTACATCGGATTTGGATAATTATTTTCAAAATACTCGAGTGGGAAACTTTCACCCTCCCCTCTAATAGATAATTGGACTTTTTTATGATTGCAAAGGATTACAAGAAGAACAATATCCAAAATTGGTACGATGAGCTTCCTTCCCACCCAGCACCAACATCAATCATCATAATACATGTATTCATGTCTCTAATTTCAGCCATACTCTTCGTGTGGGGGCCTCAATTTATACTCAAGATATTGGATATGTACGTAACTGAGTCAACACTACCAATAAATAACACACGTATAAGTTAGAATGAATTTGCTTAGTTCTTTCTTCTTATATTTGGTTGCCTGCACCACAATTGAACAAGGGTAGAGATACGCCAACTAACCAACCCCCACCCCCAGCAAACAAAAAAAGGCTGGGCTTGCAGAAAACCCCACAAACTTTCTGCTTTCTGCAAAGAGCTCTGCATTGCAAAACTTATCCGGATTTCATGTGATTTTGAAAGTTTGTGCTGGTTTAGGGCAGGAAAGTACGCGGGGGTTTAGTGTAATTTATCCATATGGAATAATGCTCAATTGTACTGGGGACCAGAGCAAGAAAGAAAAGTGGTCAAATTCAGGCTATATAGCACTTAAATATCTTACTGGTTCACCATATTTACACTTAAATACTCAAAGCTATAAACAGTAGCCCTTTGATCTCTACGTTGAAAAAAGTAGCCCTGTTGCAAAAAAGAATTGGCACTTATATACTTTATTATTTCACCAACTTTATACTTAAATATTCTAAGTTGTAAAAAGTAGCACTTATGCTAAGTTATAAGAAAGTAACACTTTAATAACTTAAGTTGTAAGAAAGTAGCATTTTAATACCTTCTGTTAGTTGTCAGAATATATTCTTAGGAATATTTTCATGATAAGTGCCAAAAGGTACTAATATGCTACTTTTTTATAACTTAAAATATTAAAATGCTATTTTTTAACTTAAAATATTTAAATATAAAGATGGTGAAATAATAAGATATTTAAGTACCATTTAGCCTCAAATTCCTCGCATTTCATGAGCTTGTTCCTTTTATGACTACGCTTCATACTTTCTTCTTTTGTTTGCTACGGTGTCGGCATCTCTAAATAAATTAAAAGAAGTCTTTTAAATTTGGTACATATTTCCATAGAAAAAGAAGAATATAAAACTTAATAAAGTATTTAAGGGTAACGATAATGATTGTCCACGGGACACTTGTTAACATCTGCTGCAACTCAAATCTAACAAATCTTTTCTTAAACAAAAATTTATTTTATGATAAAAAGAAGCCATAAGTCTAGTAATAAAATAAATACTCCTTGTACTTGAAAGTAGGATCTAGTTTTTCTCAGGAAAAACTACTTTTAATTCACTTCAATTCTAATTTTGTCCCTAATAAGAGGCTAAGTTTTCTGTCATTTTAATATTTAAGCTTTTCCTTTTCTCTATTCATTGCAATTTAAAAACACAGGTCCAGTAGCTTTTTCAGCTCAAAAAAAAAACACAGGTCCAGTATAGTTCCAAAAAAAAAAAAAACAGATTTAGTTATAATAATTATCCTTTTTAATTTTTTTGAAATTTAAGTCTAATTATCCTTTGTTTGAAACTTCTGAAAACAAAAGAAGGAGGACATGAGATTTTTTAGGCAAAAGCATGCATGAAGAACGTCGGCTACTAAATGTCTTAATCCAAATAACGAATTACAACAGCTAATTGAGAGAAAAAAACAAAGTCGTCGTTGTGAGAAAGAAATTAAATTACGTATAAAATTAACTAATCCGCATCCTAAATTGTCCCATTTGCAGAATCTATTAGACTTTGGCTTTCCCCCTCCCTTCTTTCTTTTGAATTTCATTTATGAGATATGTATAGCAAACTTCTTTGTTATCAACGTAAGTGTATTAAGTTTGAAGCCATTGTTTTTTAATCATCATGATCAACTCCTGCAAGAAATGCACCCGAAGACTAAGTAGAGTAGTTAAGAAAGTTGTAGTGTTCCGTGTTTAGTTTGTATCATCGAAAAATGTTTCTAATTAACGAGGAAAACCATATTGTTTAGTTGTATTTTACAACTTAAAAAACTTTTCTAACCCTTTAAGACGGAGCAAGTAGGATATGCATCTTTTTTTTTCAAGATTTTATTTTCTTTGGTAATTTTCATAAAACTCCCCTAAAATTCGAGTGTTTCCTCACATAATTGATACCCTTTAACTTTCAGAATGTCACAAAATCGCCCCATTAAAATTTGCAATTATCAAAATCCCATTCAATAATAGTATAAATCATTATCACATTATTTTAAATTTGAAAATTATTGTTGACTTGATAAAATATTACTATATTATATGATTTTTTTAAACTTACAATCAATATTATAACTAAATAGCGAAAACCATGTCGCTACATCAGAACTTTAAAGCTGTGATGATGTTTAATGGATTTAAGTCTATATTATACAATTAAACAAATTCTTTTTCAAAATAAGAAATTATTATTGATACAATCTTATCAGTCTAGCTAAAACTTACTCATTTAAGGTATTCTTACTACAAGGAATTGGTATTAATTAATTATAATATAACTTATAAACATATAAGTTAAGGTGCCAGATTATCAAATTATATAAATTAAGTAAATTTTATTATCTTATATCTTCTACAAAAATGCTTTGCTTTAAAAAAATTACTCCAGGAACTACTTTTTATATAAAAAAATTACTCTATGTTTTAAAAGAATTACACTAGGAAAATATCTTTTATTAAGATAAACGTTACGTTTTGATATCCTAAAATTTACATCTATTTAACTTTGATACCCCCAAAGCGTTGGCCGACACTTTGATACCCAAAGTTTACACATTTTTTGCTTGCCTACCCCCAAACAGTACACACATTGACCAATATTGCATACCCATCCTGACCTCACTGACCCCAGGGCCCCGACACTCTATAGGAGCCATTAATCAAAAAAATAAAAATAAAAATAAAAAGTATTACAAAAATGTCACACCCATTGAGACGAAACTTACCAATTCCGACAAACCATTCATGCGTGCACGGTATCTCTCTCAAATCCACCAATAAAATGCCCTAACCATCGCCACCTATAAATACACCACACAAGTACACCTCTGGCCTCTCTAATCCCCTCAACGACATGAATCTCTTCCTCAGAAACATGATCCCTTCTTGCTCCTGCTTCTCTGCTCCTTCCGCCTCCAAAGTCGCCAGCATCGACCCCGAATTCGAACAGGATGCGGCAATCCAACGCTTCGATTCATCCGGAATCCAGACTCTCATTTCAAACCCCAAAACTCTCCGCCGTCATCAGGCAGGGACAGGCTCCCAGACACCGTCCGCCTCGCGCAACCTCGACCAACCTTCGGCCCGCAGCCCTTTCAACAAGTCATCGAGCCGATGCCAGCGCCTTTATGAAATGTTCCATCAAGAACTCCGCGTCCTTCGAAGCATTAAACCTCACCCTAACATCGTTCGCCTCATCGGTTACGGTGACGACCGCGGCGGCCAGCTCGGAACTCTGGTGCTCGAGCATGTTCCCAACGGTACACTGCACGACGCGCTTCATGGTAATGTTAAGTCCGTGCTTTCTTGGCCTCAACGCGTGTCTATTGCGTATCGACTCGCGACCGCATTAAATTATCTGCACGAAGAATGCGACCTTCCTGTTGTTCACGGAGATATTAAATCCTCGAACGTGCTGCTTGATGATGGCATGAGCCCGAAACTTTGTGATTTCGGGTTTGCGAGACTGGGATTCTCTGCCACGGTCACACGATCAGCCATCCCGATGATGGGGTCGCCAGGTTACGTTGACCCGTGTTATTTGAGGACTGGGTTGGTCTCGAAGAAGAGCGATGTGTACAGCTTTGGGGTGCTGACTTTGGAGCTGATCAGCGGGATGGAGGCGTTTAGTGAGGAGAAGTCGAGGATGTTGACGGTGGTGATGAGGCCGCGATTGAAGGAGATGGCCGTGGAAGAGATCGTGGATGCGAGGCTTGGAGGAGAGTACAATAGAGATGAGGTTGTGATCATGGCGAGGATTGCAGGGAGATGTATTGGGGAGAATCCGAGCCTTCGGCCGGCGATGGGCGAGTTATTGACCTTGATGAGAAAGGATATACCGTCGGCTGCGTTTGGTAGGGTGTCCGGCAAGAAAATTGTTTGAAAATTTTCAAGGGTAAAGGAAATGAAGATTTAGGATTAGAATTGTAACAATCAAAACATACAAAATATTTGTATCGCAGCTCTTTCTTCGGACAAATTTTCAAAACCAACCCTTTTGCGATTTTATTCCCAAAAAACGACCTCTTTCCTCTTTATTTGTAAAAACCGACCTGGTTTCAGCCTCAGCGCTGAAACCAGGTCGGTTTTTTACAAAAAAAGTTCCGAAACTTCACGGGAGTTCAACTCCCGTGAAGTTTAGCAGCTTAATTAAATAGCTGTTAAACTTCACGGGAGTTGAACTCCCGTGAAGTTTTTTAGTTAAAAAAAAAGTTGAGCTGTGGAACTTCACGGGAGTTGAACTCCCGTGAACTTTAGCATCTTAATTAACTGATTGCTAAACTTCACGGGAGTTCAACTCCCGTGAAGTTTCAGAACTTTTTTTGTAAAAACCGACCTGGTTTCAGCCTTGAGGCTGAAACCAGGTCGGTTTTTACAAATAAGTGGGAAATGGGTCGTTTTTTGGGAATAAAATCGCAAAAGGGGTGGTTTTGAAAATTTGTCCCTCTTTCTTCACTTTAAGAAAAAGTTATTTTTGGACAAAGGGAGGGTTCGGTGGTTTTTATCAAAACTGCTTACTATTTGATGTGTGATCATTATTCTAAATATAACTCTCACTCCGTCCTCTTGAATTGCACTCAGTTTCTAGTTTTATACATGTTGATGGTTTAAATCACACAGGCAAAAAGAAGGTAATAGGGACCAGGTTGATATGAGGACCGCTCACTTTTTTAAATATCTGATTTGGAGTTCGGTTGTTCGTCCCTGCACGTGTAACAACTCGTAAGAGGATGGGGACTGGTTCCCCTGTTGTTTCTCCGATGATCAAGTCATCTAGGTGCTTGAGTGAGAATATGAGAAAATGCAGCGGAATGGAGAAAAAAAATCTGAGAAATTACATACCTTTGTATTTGGAATAGTTTTTCTTTTTTATAGCCATGCAAGAGGGGTATAGTCTAGTCTTTTTGGCTGAGCCTGAGCTGACTGCTGAGTCAGCGTCTACTTTACAGGTGTCGGTCGTAGAGCAGTCACAGGATGTGCGCTATCGCTTCGGCATTAATGAGATGGGATAGGCGGTGCACGAAGCTGACGTGGTCTGATGTGTCATAAATAGTATCAGGGATGGAGAAATGATGGCGCCTGCCAAGCATCTAATGTGATGTCGACACACTGTCAGTGGGCGAGAGGGGGTTTGAGGTTGAAGTCGTTTTTTGGCTTGTAACTAGGGGTGTCTAGAAGTAACACCTTTTGAGTCGACCAAACTAGGTGTCGAATAACTGGTCGAGTAATGGATTCACAACGAGTCATCTTCAACAAGAGGAGCGACAACTACCACCTTTCGAGTCGACCTAAGGAGACGCCGACTCAGTGAGTTGGCTAGGTCGGGATCTTGGCAGTCCTAAGCGTCAATTCGATTAAATGGTGTATATTTTGGGACACATGTCCTTTGCTGACAAAGGGTCATAATTTGGCGACTGAAAACACCATAACAGTTAGCCCCTTTCGTTTGGAGTCGGCTTGGGTTGGGTTCGAGTGAAATAAGAACTGATCTGGATGGGCACAAGCTTGCATTAAATGGGGAAACTGAAAAGTCTTCTCAGATTTCACGTGGCTGACGTCACTATACATTCTTTTTGACTGTTGCAGCTCTACTTTTTGTGTGGGATTACGGGTTGTTCGAGATTAGTGGGCTACGCCTTGATCCCTGAGATGCCGCTTTGGAATCTGAGAGTTAATATTGGCCGTTGGCCAAATCCTGATTCGGCCGTTCAGATTCCTGTAGTTGTGGATTCAGCTTCCTATATATAAAGCTAGGGCTAGGGGAATGACGTTTATTATTTTTTGAAATTCCCCTCTGAGAACTTGAGATCCTCCCTGTCCATCTTTTAAATGATTACTCTCCCCTCTATGATGGCATTAGATCCTGTAGATTGATAAGCTCTTCTGGCGGAGTTTCACTCCAAGGTGACCCAAGCACAGATGAGGATGATCCACAGGATATCTGATATCCTCCGAGAGTATGAGTTGATGGCCCCGACGAGGTCTGAGGTAGTCTATGACCATGGACCGAATCGGGCTCCACTTTACTTGAAGCACTTGGAGTTTGGCTTGCGGCTGCCCTTGCACCCTTTTCTTCAATAAGTTTTCACGGCTCTATGGGTATTGCCATCCTAGATGAAGTTGAACGCCATCGCGAACTTGTGGGGTTCGTGGTGATTTTCCATTGATTTGCAATAAAGCCATCTCTGAGAGTCTTGTGCCGTTTGGTGAGTGTTAAAGTGAACCAGACCGAGCCTTATTTTCACTTCTAGATGGTGGGTAAGTATAAGGTCATCACCGAACTTCCCGAATAGAACAATGATTAGAAGGAGAAGTTCGTTTAGGTCATGGGGGATGACTTAGATCTGGGCTACTCGAACTGGCCAAAGATAAGAAGGAAAGCGCTAATGGTCGGTGACTTGCTTGATGTCAAGAAGGATGCGTTGGACCAAATCAAGGTGTATGCTGGCTCTCGTTGTGTAGAGCATCTGCTTGACAATGCGGTCTTCCGAGTGGCCAATATATCGGTCGTGCCTCCATTCGCGAAGGACCAGGAGAGGGATTCAGCTCTAATCTTTGGAATAGCAAAAGCGGCGATAGGGTCGTTCGCTCCTCTAACCGACCCCCAGGAAGGACCATCAGCAAGGCTGGAAAAGCATCTCCGTCACGACTTGGCCCTAATGGACGTTGAGACAACCGAGGTGGAGCCTTACGCTGCCCTCATCCATAGGCGAAGGGGAGACCGTGAAGGGATGAAGAGCAAGTACCTCAGGTGCCGACCGAGGTGGTCGAGGCTGACGTCATCCATGTAGACGAGTCAGGTACGGAAGAGCAGGCCGAGGCTCCCCAGGAAGAGGTTGGAGCTGAGGCAATAGCCTTCACTAACGAAGGAGGGGCATCCCTCCGCCGCAGAAAATCATCACATCGGAGGAAAGAGCTGGTCGGGAAGCAGATGGCGCCTCCTGTAGGGTTAGAGCACCCCTATCCTCATCGCGTCGTTGAGATTAGGGAGGAAGAATGGGACAGGACAAGGCAGTACCTCATTAGGTCTTCAGAGGTCTACCCTCGATTTGGACAACAACCCAACCCAGAGAACCACCACCAGCCTACCCACCATCTCGATGTCAAGGGGTCAGTCCTCGGTTCTCGCCTAACTTAGGTGAGGGAAGTCGAGCAGTTCCAACTTCCTCGGGACAAGAAGTTCTTAAGGGGGGTTCCTAATGCCGGTCTCTACCAAAGCCTTCGGAGCTACTTGGTTCGGGGAGCGCTAATTGAGCAAGAGATATTTTGGCTAGATTGAGCAGATCTAGACTTTGTATCTCAAGCTCTTAGGGAGATAGCTTCCCTAAGGGCTGGCAGAGGGGCCGACTCGAAACGAGCTGTGGGGCTGCCAGCTCCAAGATCTAAGGTCGAAAGGGTCAGGTGAGAGCTTGATGAGACCAGCAGGAAGGCTAAGAGACTAGATGAGCTCTCTAGGAAATAGACCATGCTAAGGTACAAGTCAAAGCCAAGAAGCAAATGGTGGTGCATACGAAGCGTCATCTAGACGAGGAGCATGCAGCACTCGCCAAACTTCAGGGGGAGGTCACCCACCTACAGGCATTCTTAGCAGTAGCCTAAAGTCACAGTGCCTACTTCGAGTATGAACCTTACCACAAGGGGATCACAAAGGAGTATCGCCAGGTCCTTACTGGAAAAACAGAGGTGGCGATAGTATGCAAGGCTAGGTACGACTACCTCGAGGCATAGCTTCCAGCCAAGATAAGGAACCCACCCGGTTGCTTTCAAAACCCTCCCATCATAGCCAAGTGTCTGGATGAGTTAGTGGATGTGGAAGCGCTGGGGGGGGACCTCAATCTTAGCAAGGAAGAGGGGGAGTCAGATGATGAAGCTCTTAGGTCTCTAGGTAGGAAGACCGTCGAACGAGGTGACCGCTCGACTCCTCCGCCGACTACTACCAGTGACTCTTTGCCTTTGACCCCAAGAGCTATAATGGACCTCTCTTAGTCTCCTAGAAATTTCCTGTCTCTCACCTTTACACTGTATATGTGCATATGTACTTTGTAGATACTTCTTATAAATAAATAAAGAGATATTTTTAAGCTTGAATTACTTTCCTTGTGCTGTGCAATCTTATTTTGGATCACCTGTGTGAATTAGCTCCACCATGGGCTTGTGAATTTGACTGCTGACTCGAGGGGGTCATTCTTTGTTGAGAAAATACGTCTCGAACTCGAGTAGTTGTCGTTGCTGTTGTTTGTTATTTTTTTCTTGGTTTAGAGTCAATCGATTTGACGGCCCTTGCTAATTACCGTTTGAACTCCTTGGGGCGAGTGCCTGAGAGTACGAGTTAGCTTTTATGGAGGGTGGGCTATCTTAGTAGAGAGTATTATTTCTTTTAGGCACGTCCGTTGTCGACTCTGTAGGTAAACTAGGTCTGGTCGACTGTTTATCGAATAGACGACGTTTGGCGAGTTTCCAAAAGTCATTATTAGGCAGGTGAAACATCACTGTTTGAAATGATATGATGACGTTATCAAAAGTCAGAAAGTATTTTGTCGCTTTGATTTTCCAACGAAGAGTCGTGGAGTAAAGAGGGCGGCCTTCGCGTTTCAGCTGCGAAGCGTTAGGATTTCAAAGTGTATCTCTCTAATTTCCCCAATTTACTTACAAGCTCTTTACCATCTTCCATTACTGCTCAAACCTCCACTATCGGTCACAAACGAGGAGAGAATCGATCTTCTTCAGCCAAATCGCTTGAAGATTATCACCCAAGAGCTCGAGATGTACTACGAGCTTTACGACCTCCCTAAAGCCTTCACGCTCTTAGCACCAAGTGGGGATGAGCCTGTGTACCGCCACAGCCGCCACAGCCAGGACAAGTCACCACTTTACGTCGCCCACCTTGAGTATGGGCTCCGGCTATCGTTCCATCCCTTCATTAGGGATACGTGCATCTCTCTGTGGGTGTCACCCTCTTAGTTCACCTCCAACGCGATTGGGGTTTTGGTGAGTTTTGTGGTGATTTACTACCGGGTCGGTATCTCGCCGAGTATGCGCCTGTTTGCAAACCTGGTCAGCGTCAAGCCGATGAGGAAGGACCTCTATTATTTCCTATAATACATAGAGGGTTGTAAGTTGGTATCAGATGCTCCAGAGTCGAACAGAGATTGGAAGGAGCGGTTCGTGTGGGTCTTCAGAGCTGATCCTCCCCCAACTAGCCTGAGATCAATAACGACGTGCTGAAGCCGTGCTTCCTTATCGCTGAAGAGAGGCAGCAGCTAGAGAAGATCCACTCTTATTTTAGGTCTCGGAAGAGAGGAAATCTCTTCGAGGTGACATCTCTTCGGGTGGCGAGCATATTGATGGTCTCTCCTACTAAGGCCAATAGGGTGCGGGCGAGCCTACTAGCTCTCCCCTTAGAAAAAATCCCTCAGAGGAATCCGAGGAGGGGTAGGAGTCAGGCTCATCCATGAGCCCCCAGAAGAGGTTGAGGGGTTATCTGGACCTCGAGAAAGTGGGCGGTCTAATGTTG